CCCGTTATTTCGGCAGGCAGGGGCAGGCCCGGTGAAGGTATGCGCAGAGAAGGATCCGCCGAGAAGCTTCAAAGGGGTCCCCAGGACCTTACCAGCACTGGAGGTGGAAGGCAGCCGGACAGTGGTCGCAACACAGGAGATCTCCACCTTCCTTGCAGCTATCGCAGCTGTCGTGGTTGGTGGCCCTGCCGCTTCTCCGGGGCTCCTTCTCAGGCTTCCGACTCCGCTTTTCTGCCTCGTCGGTCTTGGGGGGAGCCAGCAGAGCTTGGATTTGCTGCACACACATACAAACCGCATGTGTGCACACTCGGAGCTCCCGGGCGGTCCGTCGCCCCCCCGGCGCGGCTTCTCCGTCACCCACCCCTCTCCCCCCTTTTGTCCTTCTTCCTCCCATCCAGGCTGTTCCCAGAACCTCTCAGCCCCCGGAACCAGGGGGAGCCCACCCTAACCGCGTTCCTGCAGCACAACAACGAGAACAGCTTCTTCCAAATGGGGAGGATCAAGGGTAGGGGGATGGGAAGAGGGTGCGCGGTTCCCTTCTTGCCACTTCCTTGTATGGACAGTGGGGGACTCCAAAGCCCGGCTCGGGAGAGGCCCGAAGCCCGGTACCCGGACGTGCTGGGGGAAGCACAAAGGGGCCAACAAGAAGGGGGTGGGGAGGCCTGCCGGTGCAACGAGATGGAGTGGGCTGGCGCCTCGGGAAAGCGAATCGAGGGCGGCGGGTAGGTGAAACTGCTGCAAACGTCTTCGAAGGCCGAGATCAACCCCCCAAATTGCAAAGAGAGGAGGGAGAGGCTGGGTGAGGAAGAATCCCCCTCCTTCGACCCTCTAGGCGCTTCGAGTTTAGGACCGGCTTTGTGGGGCGGAGGGCGGAGGTTCCCTCCCGACGCTGGGGGAAGGGGATGAGGAGGGCCACTCTTACCTCCATCAGCCCCCCTGATGTGTCCAAGTCGTACACGATCGTCTTGGTCTCCATTTTCTCCCACATTCATCCACCTCCCGGGCTGGGTGCTCTCTGCTCCGGCCCCCCCAACCCCGGGGGGAGGGGGGATGTGGGGGTAGGGGGCGCTCCTGACCCCGGCCCTGCTTCTTTTTTCTCAACACGGGTCCCGACTTCCTCGCCCTGGCTCCCCCCCACCCCCCGGCCCCTAGTCCCCGGGACGACAGCGTCCTCCCCACGGGCCGCGAGGGGGGAGCGGCCCCTCAGTCCCGGCCCGGCTGCTGGCTGCACAGTGGGTCCCGGCTCCGGGGTCAGGCCTCGGCGGGGCCTAGTCCCACAGGCTAAAGCCGGCACTGGCGACTGCCGGTCCGGCCGGGAAGGCTGGCGGGCGCTGCCATCCCGGGGCTGGGGGGACAGGAGGGGGGGTGAGAGGTTAGGTGAGGTTGTGGTACGTGAGGTGACTGGGGGGAGGGTGATGGGGGGTGGTCCCCGGGCTCCGCCTCTCGCCGCTGCCGCCGTCTGCGTCCCGGCTGCCGCGCACTTGGCGCAAACTTACCGCGAGCGCCCGCAAAGCCACCCGCGCAGGCGCCCCGGGATCGCTGCTAGCCGCGCGCAACCGCAGTGACAGCCGGCGGCCGGGCTCCCGCGCAGCCGCGGTAAGGGAGTACCCCCCAGCGCGCAGCCGCGCTGGCATTCGTCTGGAGCACCGAAGCCCCACCTTCTGCCGTGCGCCAGCGCACTGAGACAAAAGGGCGGGACCTGAGGTCTCGCGCAGGCGCTTGGGAAAGCTCGTCGGGGTCAAGGCGCAGCCGCAGGGAGCTAGGGACTCTTCATCCATTGGTGTTTGTGTGCAAACTAAGAGGACTTTGTTCCTGCGCAGGCGTGTTGGGGTTGCTCCCCTCCCACTCCCCAACACAGACGCCTCCCGCGCACGCGTATTGTCTTCGGCAGGTCCTCACAAGAAAGCTGCTCCTTTCGCCATTTTGGTAATGGGATATGGGCTATCGTGCCCTTGGAGTCCTCAAGCATGAACAGAAACGAGCAAGGTGTGGTGTTGGATGGAGCTGGTCACCTGTCAGTGACAGCAGTGTTCCCAGGGATGTTGTACTGGACTATTGGTTCTAGCATCAGGTGTGGCTGGACCAGGCCGCCATATTGGTAAAGAGAAAAGCCATTTGCGACAGAAAATGACGCCTTTGGTGGCATGTTGGATGACTGTGGTTCCTACTTTTCTCCCGCTCCTCACAGCTAATTTTATCAGTTAATTGTATCCTGAGCATCCCTGCCTTCCGTGGTAGTGGCATTGTGGGGAGTTGCGCCTGCCCGTTACCATCCTCTTTTCACCACTGTCCCTGAGATCTCTTCTAGAGGTAGCCTAAAGCGGAGAGTTTATAATCCTGACAACGCCCAGCTACCTGCGTATCCCGGACTCCAACTCCCAGTTTGCAGTGCCGAAAGGTTTAAAGGGCGACTGGGGGAGCATTGCACACTGGTAGCAAGAATCGCGATAGGACTGGTGGATTGTGGGAGCTGTAGTTCCGTGTGCGTGCGATGCACTCTATGGTAGTATGGACCCAGGGAGGAGTCATTTGCCTGCTAGGAAGGGATACTTTTGAGAGCTTCTGTGCTGCATGCCGGGATTTGTAGTCTGAGGGCCCCCTCGCATTCTGGGCGGGGATTCATGTTCCTTTTCAGGGCGCCCGCTCCTCCCCTTGGTACCGCGGTCAGAGATGGCCGATGATTGCTGCCTGATGGTGGATGAAGCAGTGGAGAAGGGAACTGCATCGTTGTGCTTGTCACTAGGGGTTTAGTTAGAATTGTTCTCTCGTAGCTGTGCTCAGATCACTTTTAATGTTACGGGACACAGCATTCTCAGAGTCGTAAAACTAAAAAGGATTTGGAGATCATCTGATTTAATCCCGTCTTTTCCAGATGCACAGAGAGGAGCAGTGATTTGCCTAGGTCACACAGTGCATTTGTGGGAGACCTAGGAATTAGATTTCTTGATTCTCAGGCCAGACACTCCATTACACCATGTCGAATGTTTCTAAGGAATTGGTACGCTTTCTTTGGGAATAGTAAGGGGGATGAGTTAGAGTGGGGATGTCAGTGTACCCTCGGAGAGGGGAGAGCTGAACTAGATCATTTGTATGAAAGAGGCAAGATTTTCTGTCTTCTGTGGCTATACTTTATGCCACAGGCTCTCAGAGGTTAGAACCTCATGTGCGCTCTCTCTTTGGCTTTTTCCCTACTGCTCAGGGCCCAGCTGTGCTGCTGTGTCAGCCTAAAGGCATTATGGAGCAGAAAAGTAAGCCATTGGCACCCATCCACTGAACAAGGTTTTGCTTTGATCGACACCATCAGTTGCAGCTGATAATAGGAACTATGGGCTAATGAGAGAAATAAGACTTGGCTCTGTTGACAGGTGCCAGGGAAACATCACACACCTTCCTCTTGGAACTTGGAGGTTGAAGTTAGGCCAGTGGGGTCCAGGAATGGTGCCACCTTGGAGAGCTCCCGCCCTGACAGTTCGGGGGGATTAAAGAGAGAGCAGGTGGGATACAGACAGTTTTGGAAGTGACCTCTTGTGGCTAATCTAGGCACTGCACTCTGCATGGACGAGCTTCATCATCCTTCAAGGTGACTGGTACTAGAGCCCAGAGTAGGAAGCGTGAGTGGTCAAGATCTCCCTGTTGGAAGACTGGAGATTCCGAGTTCTCATAATTTCCTGTTCCCGACCTCTTGTCCTTACTCTTGGAAAGCAGCCATGCAGGGCACACCTCTCAGCATAGAATGTGCATACTGGGGGCCAATGCAGGGCATTTCCATCTTGGTTGGTCTGGGTCTCATAGGGAAGGGGCAAACTTAAGCAGATCCTCCCAGCCACCTTTTTCCAGAGCCCATAGTTAGGGCCTTTGCCTAATTTAGGAGCCAAGTCCCTAAGCTGCATTACCACTGCTTCTGACAATCTAAGTATTCTCTAAGGCCAAGCCAGATTAGGGCTTCATGTTTAGGGGATCAGTCTCTGTTTCCTATTCCAATTTCCAAAGCCTTGCTTGCTTGAGAATAAGGGGAAGGAGAGATGCTTCAGGCTTCCTGAGCCTAGTTAGCATTGAGAAGGGCATCAGGGCATTGAGAAGGGATTTGAGAGTATGCCAGCCTGTAGTTCTGGGCCTGACAAAGAGGAGGAAGTAAGGCATTGGGTGGATATGCATAGGGGTTCCTGGGCTCCCACATCCCTGTGGCACCAACCATTGGGGACTTTGATTTCTCCTGCCATCTGTTGCACTGTCCCTTTTGGGGGACCCTGTCCAACTGCATGTAACTATTTCTTTTCAAATAAAATCTGGAGGCCTGGGCGCGGTGGCTCAAGCCTGTAATCCCAGCACTTTGGGAGGCCGAGGCGGGTGGATCACGAGGTCAAGAGATCGAGACCACCCTGGTCAACATGGTGAAACCCCGTCTCTACTAAAAATACAAAAAATTAGCTGGGCATGGTGGCGCGTGCCTGTAATCCCAGCTACTCAGGAGGCTGAAGCAGGAGAATTGCCTGAACCCAGGAGGCGGAAGTTGCGGTGAGCCGAGATCGCGCCATTGCACTCCAGCCTGGGTAACAAGAGCAAAACTCTGTCTCAAAAAAAAAAAAAAAAAAAAAAAAAAAAAAATCTGAGCACTTTGGGTGGCTAAGGTGGGAGAATCACTTGAGCCTAGGAGTTGGAGACCAGCCTGGGCAAAATAGTAAGACTCTGTCTCTACTATATATATATATATAAATTAGCCATGTGTGGTGGCATGCACCTGTAGTCTTAGCTATTCAGGAGGTTGAGGTGGATCACTTGAGCCTCAGAAGTTGAGGCTGCAGTGAACCGTGATCGAGCCACTGCACCCCACCCTGGATGACAGAGTGAGACCCTATCTCAAAAACAGTACAAATAAAATAAAATCTGAGGATTATTGATTGGTGGGTCTAGTATGCCTTCTGGTCCTGAAGTTCATATCCCATTTATCTCCCACCACCCGTCCCTCCAAGAAAGCATTATTCACCTGGCCATTGCTTGTATTTTTTTCAAAAACACCATTTTAATAAGGAAACAACAGAAATAAAAGATTGTTCTCTGGCTGGAGCCCATATAATACATTACATATACAAAGTGGCCTTCAGCCAGCTCCTGGGCGTCTCCCTGGGGCTTTCCTACCACCTATTTCATGCCAAATTCCTGGGTCCTTGGACCTCTGCTCCTCTCCAGAATATGCCTGCCCCCTCCCCTTATCACATAATACAGTTGCCAAGATGAGAGCCTGACAAGTGGCTGGAACTAGAGGAGGGACTAGTGGGATGAAGATGTTTTTAACAGCCAAATAAACATCGGAGGAGTCTCCCTCTCCTCAGGGTATAGGGCAGTCAGGGAAGAAGGTGATATCCTGCTTTGGTGTGGAGCATGAGTGCCCAGGGAAGCCCAACCTGAGGTTTGGGTAGGATCCCCCTGAACTCCTTAGGATCCCTAAAATTACTGCCTCCACTGGGACAGGGCAGGAGGCAGAACTGTCCATTCCTGGGGCTTTAGAGACTAGATACCTCCCAAGAGGCTGATGTTGGCATGCCGGGACTACCCAGAGGTCACCATTGAGAGGAGTTTTGGCCATTGGTGATCGCTGTGTGAGGAGCATCCTGGTGCAGTTTCTACCATGGTCAAGTTGACCCTGCTGCAGGCTGCCATGCCAGGGTGGGATGGTGGTCATATGGACAGAGGTACTCCTGCTCTGCTTGTGTGTTCCAGGCTGGTCCAGGCATGAGGAGGCTCGGGATGCTGGCTGTTGATTCTTGTGCTCCAGCCATGTTCTGCCCACAGGCAGATGCCCCCCGACGTGGGCCCAGTGAAGGGCCCTAAGTGGGCAGTGACACCAAGAAAATAGGTCATGGTGGGCATTGCAGGTGGGGAAGGGCACAACTTCTTGAGGGATTGGTGGCATCTCCTCCCAGGTGGTATGTACAGGAGGTGGAGGGACAGCAGGAAGCAAGGAGCCTTGCTGCTGGACTGTGGTGCAGGCCTGAGTAGGCTTCCCTAGGCTGCCCCCACCTAGATGGAGACTTCATATTCTCTCGTCTCCTGCAAAGGAAAGAGACTGCTGGGAGTTGGAAACTTGCATTAGATTTGCCAGGCCATGATTCACCTTCCCTAGGAAAAGGGAAAAAGTGAGGGAGCTTGGCAGGACCCTCAGGGTTACCTGCCCAAAGCAGCAGAGAACTGGGTCTTGGATAGGGTGGCAAGGCTGGCATGGTTACTTACTCCAGTCTCGTAAGTTGGATTGTCAAACGCTGACTCTACAGTAATGCGGTTGTAGGGGCGGGGGCGTGTGCGGGGCAGCTGCAGGGAGCTTTTTCCCTGGAGCCTGTGGGGCAGAGAAGCCTGTGAGTCAAGACTACTGGGTAGGAGTGAGTCAGGCTTGCAGAGCAGGAAGAGAAGCCAGACTTACCTGGAGAAGTAGAGGTATACACCTCCTACCAACAACACCATCGCCACCAGTGGCAAGAAGATGGCAGCTGCAATGTGGGCAGCATCCAGGGTGCTGGAGGCAGCAGGCGCCTTGGCAACTGAAGACACAGAGGGTGGGACTGGAGCAGAGGTCTCTGTCACCTGGAGCCCATATCCTCTCACCTCTGCCCAAGGGCTACCAGCTCCCTCTAGCTGGCTGGGGGCAGGGAAGGAGCTTTTTACTCTGCTAGGCCCAAACCTCTCTCTGCCTTCCCTCCTTGGGAAGCTCATGGCCTGGGAACCATGAGAAACAGGACCAGGGAGACCACTTCTCTGGCCCTCAAGGGTGGAGACTCACCATCCAGGCTGCGGGTGTTGTAGAACTCATCCAGAGAGGCTGGAACAAGAGGGGAGGGCCAAGGGCAGTGGGTGAGTCCAAGGGGCCAAACCACTAAGGCAGGGAGCGGAGGTAGTGGGCTGATCATGGGAAGCGTTTGTCCAAGGAGAGCCCACTCCGGCATGGGTCTTGGTGATGCCAGATCAGAAGGATCTGGCAAAGACTGGAGAGACCAAGAGTAACATGAAGGTGGCATGGGCAGGTGGTTCTGGTTCTCAACATTGCACATCTTTGCCAGAGCAGCTTTATGGTCCAGGCAGGGTTTTGAGGGATGACAGGGTACTCACCAGCCCTACAGATGGGTGGGGGGTCACTCCAATGCGAGGGGTGCCCGGGCACACACTTGATGCTGGCCTGGCCCTTCAGCACGTAGCCAGGGGCACATGAGAAGTGGATGGTGGCCCCTGCTGGGTGTAGCCGCTTCTCAGGACTTTGGGCGCCATTCTCAGGGGCACTGAGACCATGGCATGGCTTGAGCTGTTCCACTGCAAAGCAGGCAGAGCCCAGTGAGGGTGTCATGCCCTTGGCCTCCAGGGTAGCATCTTTTATCTCCAACTAGAGGTTTTCCCTCCTACTCATCTGACACTTACAGAGACATTTGGGGGCCCGGTCACTCCACTTGGGGCTGCCGGCCTGACGATCATGGCAGGTGAGGATGGAGCTGCCCGTGAGCACAAAACCTTGGTCACAGATATATTGCACGGTGGCCCCAACAGGAAACTTGGGGCTGGATATGAGGCGTCGGCTGTGCTCCACGTCTCCAGGGTCATGGCAGGAAGTCACTATGGGTAGGGGATGATGGGGGGAAGTAGGCCAAGGAGAACTAAGCAGAGGTCAGTTCACCCTGGCTTTGTTCTAGGCCAGCTAACTTCTTTATGTTGTATAGCTCTGTCCCTTGTGTATCTGTCCCTACCATTATGCTGGTGTTTCCCCCCATTTGTTCCCTTCCCATCTGTTAGGGTCGATAAACACTGATTGGCTATCTACCAGGAATGACATACTTGGCTGATAACCCCATGAAAAGGTATCATCCCTGTTTCACAGATGAGGAAACCGAGGCTCTGAGAGGTGAAGGAACTTTGAGGATACTAGCTAATAACAGCTAGAGTCTGGCTCAGAATCCAGGAGAGAGGCTTGGAGCTTGTGTTGTGAAGGGGAGCATGGGTAATAGGTATACTCACCCCTCTGGCACGAGGGCAGGTCCTCACTCCAGGTTAGGTCCCACTGGCACATGAGGACACTGGATCCCACCACCTGGTAGCCAGGGTAGCACTGGTAAGTGACCACAGTGCCGTGCACTAGCTCAGGCTGCGATGGGCTCTTCCAGCCATTGGGGATCTCAGGTAGCTCCGGACATGTGTCATTGCGGGGCACCTCTGGGGGCACAGAGGCACAAGATGCAGGCCTTCAGCCGCACCAAAGTGACTGTCCCCCTCACCCTGAGGTGGCTCTGGCTCCTGCTGGTTGGTCCTGGACCTGGACTGTCCTGGGTAGGCTCAGGGATCCATTCCTCCCTGCTCAAGGGCCCCTCCTTGCCTGCCTCTGACATTGCTCTGTCTCCTAGATTCCAGGGTTATCATGTAGGCTTTGGCCTTACTTCCAAAAGCACCTTGGCCAGTTCCTCAGGCCTGAGAGATGGAATCAGGTACAGTGAGGGAAATTGTCACTTCTATGAAAGACTGTCAGTAAGATAGAAGCCAGCACTTTTCCTTTGTTCTCCATTTTGGTTTAAAAGTTGTTCTGGCCAGGTGCAGTGGCCAGATAATCCCAGCACTTTGGGAGGCTGAGGTGGGCAGATCACTTGAGGCCAGGAGTTTGAGACCAGCCTGGCCAATATGGCGGAAACCCAACTCCACTAAAAATACAAAAATTAGCCAGTTGTGGTGGAGGGCGCCTGTAATCCCAGCTCCGCAGGAGGCATGAGAATCGCTTGAGCCCGGGAGTGGAGGTTGCATGGAGCAGAGATTGAACCATGGCACTCCAGCCTGGGTGACAGAGGGAAACTGTGTCTCAGAAAAAAAAAAGGAAAAAAAAGAAAGTTGTTCTGCTGCCTACCCAAACCCCTCTTGCGACAACAGAATTCTGGCTCCTCCTCAAAGCAGATGGAGAACGGGACTAGCTTCCTCCAGGTAATCCCTGTTTTTTTTTCAGCTTCCCCTTGACTGAGAGAGCATTCAGGCACCTCACTGCCCTGGCCTCTTTGACTGGTCGTGGCTTGGGGCCTGCACTCTTAGTGGGGTAGGGACAAGCTCACCAAAGAAATGGATGATGAAGCCCTGCTGGTAGCCCAGCACTGAGGTCCCGGGATCCGACTGGAATTGAATGGTGACATCAGCCATGGAGGTAAAGAGCTTGAAGTGGCTACGGGGCCCTGAGTACTGGCCCAGGACCCGGGCTGTCAGGTCATCCCCATCATAGAAGGTAAGTACGTCTCCAGGGCCTATGCGCAGCCTGTGGAGGAGGAGTGTCAGGACACAGCAGGCCTGGGGGCCCCATGATGGGCTGGACAAAGGATATCCCCAGAACTCAGGAGTTGGCTCAGCCTGACCCGGTGGGCACTCACACTCGGATGTCCAGCATGATGCGCTTGTCCTCTTCCACATGCACACCCCAGATGCAGTCCTGCCCACGACCGTAGGGCTCTGGCCAGTTGGGAGAGAGCACCACACCAGCTGAGTCTGTGATCTCTCCGCTGCACACGGCTGGAAGGCAGGAGAGGCACAGAAGGTGTGTTGCTTTTCCAGCTTACTATCTGCCCACCGGAATGCCCACCAATTGCTGGGAGCCCCCACCTCCTCCTTGGAGGAAACCTGAACCACATATATCACAGGGCCCCTGTGGCCCCCGGTTCTGTGGCTAGTCCCCTGGTACCCACCCTGCAGGCCCATCTGCTGGTGCCTACTGACCTCGGCACGCTGGCTCTGTCTCATTCCATTGGGGGTCGTGAGGGTCAACACACTCGATGATGATGGAGCCCTGCTCCAGGGTGTAGCCAGGGTCACAGCTGAACTCCACAGTGGTACCCACAGGGTAGGAGGGTGCACTGCTGCTGAAGTTGCCATATTTGACAAAGGGCTCATAGCAATGGCCCTGCTGGAAGGCTGTAAACCACAAGGCCCAGCCCAGCTCAGCCTCAACTGGTATTAAACACAGATGGCCATCTTGATCACCAGGATGTTTTTGGTGCCTGGTTTTGTGCTTAGTACATAGATGGTACTCCATACATGTTTTTTGAATGAATTAATCAGTACATGCATGCATAAATTGTTCTAGAATGTCTCTTACAGTAATTTTTCTTCCCTAAGGTTAATGGTTCTAGAATGTCTCTTACAGCAATCTTTCTTCCCTAAGGGTTGAAGCCTTTTTTGCTTTTCAAAATCTGGAGAATTTATTCCCCTGGATCAGAGGGCCTGGGTCCAGGCAGAGGTTGCCTGCAAAGCTGGGGTAGGGATCCTGGTCCCAAAGAGAGGGGCAGGGAAAGGGGGCCTAAGTACTAAGTGAGCAGGTGGCTAACTTGGAAGGAGTGACAGCATGGAGGCACAGAGGGGTAGGGTGTGGGAGAAAGACCCTGGCCCTGAGCCCATGCCCCTGGACCCCCCCACTCCCAGTAAGGCCCCAGCAGGCTCACCCTCATAGCGCAGGGCCATGCCTGCCGCTGCCCCGCTGCTGTCAGTACTGAGCTCGACAAAGAAGTGTCTGCCAGAGCTGAGCAGGCCCTCAATGGGCAGGTATTCCACCTCATAGGAATCATACACTGGTGGGGCCTCCACGTTGTCCCCATTGCGAATGATGAGCCTGAACCAGGAGAGTGACAGCTATAGGCTGGTGGCTGACCCAGATGGGTTGTGGCCCCGGACTCAGGTAGCATCCCTCCAGCAGGGTATCACCAGGCCAGGCACTCCCATTCCACTAGGACAGCCCCTCACCTGTCATCATCCTCTGCCAGGGAAACTTTCTCAAAGTGCAGGTGTAGCCGCTGGCCCTCAGGAGCCTCAAGCAGCCAGTGACAGGTGAGGTTGTTGCTGTAGTTGCCCGGGAAGCCTGGGGAGATGATGCGGCCGGTGGTGGCGTTACGGATCACTCCCCCGCAGGCGGCTGTAAGACCAGGACAGGGTATAGGCTAGGTCCCTGCCTGAACCCAGGCAGCCTAACATGCCTTCTTCCCCATCCCAGCTCTGTCTCCTCTGCTTGTAGCAGCAGGGACCTCCCTGCCATCTTTGGCATCATGGTCCTGAAGGTCAAACTTTTAGCCTGGTGACCTTGCATCTACAGGCAGCCTGAGCTCCAGAATCCTGCCTCCTAACCTTTCACACCCCTGGGACTGTCAGGGCAATTCCTTGACTGTGGGTAGATGTGTCACTGCCTGGTTGTGTGCCCAGGTAAGTCACTTTCCCTCTCTGCTGACTTCTCTAGAAGGCTGTGCCCAACTCTCCCCAGGTGGACTTTCTTAAAGTCCTTACTCTGGGCTTCAACCTTCTTGGGTACATCTGCTACTTCTACCTCCTGCCACTTTCCTAAAATCAGTTGTTTGGGTATGTCCCTTAACTAGGACCCCCTGGAGTAGGAGCCAGGTCTTTTCAGACCTGGCACAGAGTTAGTATTCAGCGTTGGTTGAGTAAAATGAGTGAATGAATGTGAAAGGGGGCTAACACTAGATCCACTAGACAACACTAGATCCTGTAGCAGCACTGCTAGCCATTGATGGCCTCAAACACTTTCTGAAATAGCTCTCCAGGCCTCACTACCACTGCCATTCCTGGGTTGACTGACCTTTCCAGTTCTGACCCTCTGGCTTGGGACTGTTCTCTCTTTCTAAGGAGAGACTAAACAGTTTGCCTATGGCTATCTGTGAGGAGGATTGTTGGGTTACATGGCCACAAGCTCCTGGCAGTTAACTGGGGCCAGAGAGGGGGCCTCAGGCAAGAGGAGTATGGCTGGTTCCAGGCAGTGCTTTCCTCTCCTGGACACAGCTCTGACCCACCCGACTCTCAGTGACCATGACCAAAACACAGGACCTTTGTCTCCAAATGCTCAAGGCAGCAGCATATTTTAACCCAATAAAGCTCCTGGGGGGCTGGGGCAAATTCCTTCTTTGCAGAAAGGACAGACCTACCTTGGCTTGGTCTCAGAATGGAACTGCCCTTCAAATCGGATCATCCCCCATCCTTTGCTTGAAATTGCTTAGTGGCTCCCCATTACCCTCAGGATAGAGTTCTAGTCGAAAATGCCATTCAAGCCCTTTATGAATCCCACTCTCTCTGAACACAGCTTTAGTCCCCTCTCTTCGCATACCCTCTCCTTCAGGCACACTTCGCTGTGTCCTCACTGCCTTGTGCTATTTCGTGCCTCCACACCTCTGCATATGGTGTTCCAGGAATCCACCCCACTTTCCCAAACTAACATTTCTGAAATCCTTCCATGCTATCTCCTTGGGAAGCCTTGCTTGCCTCCTCTCTCATATCTATATCTATACCTATATCTATATCTATCTATATCTATATATTGTTTTGTTTTCTAAATGGAGTCTCTCTCTGTTGCCCAGGCTGGAGTGCAGTAGTGCCATCTTGGCTCTCTGCAACCTCCACCTCCCAGGTTCAAGTGATTCTTTCACCTCAACCTCCTGACTAGCTGGGACTACAGGTACGCGCCAGCACTCCCAGCTAATTTTTGTATTTTTAGTGGAGACGGGGTTTCCTCATGTTGGCCAGGCTGGTCTTGAACTCCACACCTTGTGATCCGCCCACCTCAACCTCTCAAAGTGCTGGGATTACAGGCGTGAGCCACTGCACCGGGCCTCCCTCATCTTGGAGTGGTTCTCCCTCCCTCAGGGTCCTACAGCACTCTGCTTTTACTACTATTGTAGCATCCTCTGCCCTGAGCTGCTTGCCGGTCTCCCTGCTAGATCTTCAAGGGCTGAGAACATGTCTGTGTTATTTGTCTCTGGTTGTGCCTGGCACCCAGGAAGAGTTCATAGAGTGAAATAAGATTCATGGCTGGGCGCAGTGGCTCAAGCCTGTAACCCCAGCATTTCGGGAGGCTGAGGCTGGTGGATCACAAGATCAGGAGTTTGAGATCAGCCTGGCCAGCATGGTGAAACTCCATCTCTACTAAAAACGCAAAAAAAATTAGCTGGGTGTGGTGGTGTGCACCCATAACCCTGGCTACTTGGGAAGCTGAGGCAGGAGAATTGCTTGCACCTGGGAGGCAGAGGTTGCAGTGAGCCAAGATCCTGCCACTGCATTCCAGCCTGGGTGACAGAGGGAGACTCCATCTCAAAAAAAAAAGATTCAAAAGCCTAAGCCCACACCCACTAAAAAGAAAAAGCCCAAGTTCCTTTCGTACTGCAAACCAAACACTTCATCTTCCTTTCTCCAATAAGCCCCCTTTCATTGGCGGCAATCTCAGACCTGATCACTCAGAAACAGACCTGGGAGTCCCCTTTCCCTTTCCCTTCTTCCCTCATCAGTGTCTCTGGAACTCCCCTTCTCTTCATTCCCCAAATCACAATCTTTTTTTTTTTTTTTTTTTTGAGACGGAGTTTCGCTCCTGTTACCCAGGCTGGAGTGCAATGGCGCGATCTCGGCTCACCGCAACCTCCGCCTCCTGGGCTCAGGCAATTCTCCTGCCTCAGCCTCCTAAGTAGCTGGGATTACAGGCATGCACCACCACGCCCAGCTAGTTTTTTTTTTTGTATTTTTAGTAGAGACGGGGTTTCACCATGTTGACCAGGATGGTCTCGATCTTTCGACCTCGTGATCCACCTGCCTCGGCCTCCCAAAGTGCTGGGATTACAGGCTTGAGCCACCGCGCCCGGCCCCAAATCACAATCTTTAGGTTCAAACTGTCTTGTCTGGCTGGCCTCCCAGCCAGTAGACAATCACCTGGGTGATTCTCCTACGGAATTCTAAGCCCCTCCCTTCTCTAATAAGCTTCAACAGCTCCTCAGCCTGTATCTTGCCCTGACACTCAAGGCCCTCCCATTGCCCTTGCCACATGTCTCAGGCTTCAGCCAAACCTGGCTGTCTTCTGTGTCCCTAAATATCCTCACCTTCCTGCCTCTATGTCTCTGCCTACGTCATTCCCTCCATCTAAATGTCAAATTTGGTCAGGCGCGGTGGCTCACACCTGTAATCCCAGCACTTTGGGTGGCCAAGGCAGGCAGATCATGAAGTCAGGAGTTCGAGACCAGTTTGGCCAACAACATGGTGAAAACTTGTCTCTACTAACAATACAAAAAAAATTAGCTGGGCCTGGTGGTGGGTGCTTGTAATCCCAGCTGCTAGGGAGACTGAGGCAGGAGAATCACTTGAACCAGGTAGGCGGAGGTTGCAGTGAGCTGAGATCGCACCACTGCACTCCAACCTGGTGACAGAGTGAGACTCTGCCTCAAAATAAATACATAAATAAATAAAAATAATAAAATAATAAATTCAAACCTTCAGTGCCACCTCCCCTAGAAACCTCCTAAACATCCAGCTAAGAATGATTGTGCACTCACCTCCCAGGTCACTTTATGTCTCTTCATTGGTGAATTTTACTTCTTGCCCTGGAAATTGGTGACCTCTGTGCTTTCTCCTTTCCCCCTTTCCTGGCAATGTGGGTTCTTTAGGACACATTTAGGGTTCTTTAGCTGTTTAATTCAGCTCTGCATACCTGTAGTGCCTCATGTAGGAGATGCTCAATAACTACAGGTTGAATGAATGCCACTGAGGTGCGTGGCCATTTTCTGGCTTCCTTATGAAGAGCAAATGAAAATGGCAGACAGCAACAGGGAGCAGGGATGAGCCCCCACCTCACTTCTCTGCTTGGCACTGAGCCCTTTCCCCTGGGGACACTCACCGATGCAGACAGGCTCCTTTGAATCCCAGAAGGGCTGGGTGGCATTGAGACAGGTAAGAAGCCTGGCGCCCTTCAGCTGGTAGCCAGTAGCACAATGGAAGCGGGCACTGCCCCCTGGGTGAAGGCTGGTGACAGTCACATCTCCATAAGCTGGACGATGGGGAAAGTGGCAGCTCAAGAGATAGGCTGCAAAGACAGAACAGGTGACACTGTGTATGAGTGCAGGGCGGGGGCGGTAGCTGAGCTATTTGTGGGGGAGGTCTGCCTCAGTCTGCCTGGAGGTGTCATTTGGGGCCAGAGGAAGCACTTGGAGTTCCGAAATGACTCCAATCCCCTCCCTAGAAGGTTCCAATGATATTCCAGCAGCCTGGGCTGGTTACTGGAGCAGATACGGAGCTGGAAATTAGAAGGGTTGGGTTCTGGCCCAAGCTTTGTGACACTTAAGGCAGGTTATTTAATCTTTTTGTGCGTGTTTCCTCATTTGTTAAATGAGATTTAAAATCCCAGCCCACATGCAGGGTTACTGTGAGACTAAATGGGATAGTATTTTATCTGCCTCGGTATCCCTGGTACCCAGCTGATAATGTATGTTCAAGAAATGCTTATTGAATGACTTGTAGACATGAAAGCCCTTGAAATACTGAAAAGCCTATACTGATGTAAAGTGTTGATACTGTTTTTCCTTTAGGGAATAAATATGAATTGCAGCAGCAAAAATCGAAGTCAGACAGTAAAGTCTGTCTGATAGTATTCACTGAGAAATGCTAAAAAGCTTGATGGCAATGACTGTGGACTTCTTTTAAAAACAGAATGGTGGTAGGCTGGGGCAAGGCAGGAGGATTGCTTGAAGCCAGGAGTTCAAGACCAGCCTGGGCAACATAGTGAGGCCCCCATCTGTATATAAAAAAATTTAGAAATAGCCAGGCATGTTGATGTGTACCCGTAGTCTTAGCTACTCAGGAGGCTGAAGTGGGATCGCTTGAGCCTAGGAGTTTAAGGCTGCAGTGAGCTATGATTGCACCACCACACTCCAGCCTAGGTGACAGAGTGAGTCTCTATTTTGAAAAACAACAACAGCCGGGCGCGGTGGCTCATGCCTGTAATCCCAGCACTTTGGTAGGCCGAGGTGGGCAGATCACGAGGTCAAGAGATCGAGACCATTCTGGTCAACATAGTGAAACCCCGTCTCTACTAAAAATACAAAAATTAGCTGGGCGTGGTGGCGCCTGCCTGTAATCCCAGCTCGGGAGGCTGAGGCAGGAGAATTGCTTGAACACAGAAGCAGAGGTTGCGGTGAGCCGAGATCGCGCCATTGCATGCCAGCCTGGGTAACAAGAGCGAAACTCCGTCTCAAAAGAAAAGAAAAGAAAAGAAAAGGAAAGAAGAGGAGAGGAGAGGGGAGGGGAGGGGAGGGGAGGGGAGGGGAGGGGAGGGGAGGGGAGGGGAGGGGAGGGGAGGGGAGGGGAGGGGAGGGGAGGGGAGGGGAGGGGAGGGGAGGGGAGGGGAGGGGGAGGGGAGGGGAGGGGAGGAGAGGAGAGGAGAGGAGAGGAGAGGAGAAGAAAAGAAAAGAAAAGAAAAGAAAAACAACAACAAACAAGAAAAAGATGGGGATGAGGATAGGGAGACAGGGCACTGCCTTCAGGGAAGTTGGGGGAAGGACAAGTTACCCTGGGAAACCTGGTAGCTTTTGGAATTGTCATACCACATTTGACCAAGTGGTGGCAGCAAATCCTACAAAGTAACCTGGCATATCCTGATCCTGGGTCAAGCTGGGCTGGTAGCTAAAAGTGAGTATCAGCCAGCGCAGTAGCTCATGCCTGTAATCCCAGCACTGTGGGAGGCTGAGGCAGGTGGATCGCCTGAGGTCAGGAGTTCAAGACCAGCCTGGCCACGGGAGGCAGAGGTTTCAGTGAACCAAGATCGTGCCACTGTACTCCAGCGTGACAGAGTGAGACTCTGTGTCTCAAAAATAAACAAATAAATAAAATAAAATAAAGGTGAAGATCCGGCCAGACGCAATGGCTCATGCCTGTAATCCCAACAGTTTGGGAGGCTGAGGTGGGTGGATCATGAGGGCAGGAGTTCCAGACCAGCCTGGCCAACATGGTAAAAGCCCATTTCTACTAAAAATCCCAAAAAAAAAAAAAAAATAAAAATAAAAAATGCTGGGAATGGTGGCATGTGCCTGTAGTCCTGGTTGCTCAGGAGGCTGAGGCAGAAGAATCGCTTGAACCTGGGAGGCAGAGGTTGCAGTGGGCAGAGATTGTGCCACTACATTCCAGCCTGGGTGACAGAGTGAGATGCTTTCTCTAAAATAAAATAAAATAAAATAAAAAAAGTGAAGATCCTGTCTTGTGTCTAAGAGATTGGAGCAAAGGCCTGGAGGGGTCAAAGAGAGAGGTTGAGAGGCAGAGCCTGACAACCCTTGGGGTGGTAGGAAAGGTGACGACTTTCTAGACTGGAGAACTTGAGTCTTGGGGTGGGGGACAGCCCCATTGATGGTACCAGGTAGATGGGAAGAGAGATCCATGCGAGGGCTCTGGTCCTGGGTGCCTTTGTGTGAATTAAAAAAGGGACCCCTTCTTCCTTCCCCATTAAAAGGAAAAAGAAAAAGGGGCTGTCTCTGGGCAGACCAGGGTCCAGAAATTTGAGTTTTATGACTTTCCCCTATCCTGTTACTATGTCCGTTAAAGTGGGAAGATAATTCCTCTTCTTCTGTCTCTTAGGGAGAGAATGGTCAGTAAGTGACTAGTTGTGCTTAGCAGGTGGGCTCTGGGTCAGACTGCCTGGGCTTGAATGCAGGCTTCCCTACTTGCTGTGCCACCTTGGGCAAGTTACCTAAATTCTCTGTGCTCTCATTGCCTCATTTATCCACCCATTTTCAGTATTACATCTAAGGTTGTGGAGGAACAAATGCCTGAGACGCTAGCCAGCACCTTACATCTGCAGGTACCTTCCAGATTCTAAAATGTCTTCATACTCTTCTTTCTTGAGGTCTATAATATGCTTAGGAGGAAGGCAGGCAAGGTAGGGGCTATTAACCCAGTTTCAGATGAGGAGAACAGGTTCAGAGAGACTCCGTGCCCTCATCACACAGCAAGTAAGTGCTAGAGCAGGAACTTGAAGCTCTTAGACTCTGGAACCTTCATGCTTTCCACCACCACCCCACCTACTTCCCCAGTTGAAGCAGAAACTTGGGTTCAGGGGTCAGAGAAGTCTGAGAGTAACAGACAAGCCTGTTCTGGGTGGTTGTCCAGAGCAGCCACTCACAGTGACCTGGGGAGAGATCCTAGGGCAGGATGGGATGGGGAAAGGGGTGTGGGGTCTAGACCATGAGCCAGGCGTGAGGCCCAACATTTCCCCTTACATATTCCCCTTTGAGTTCTTATCACAACTCTAGTAAAGAAGGGCCCTCATTTCACAGATGAGGAAACTGGGCTGGAATGGGGTGAGGGTAGGATGCTGGGGGCAGACAATGGAGCCCCCAGATTCCGTAGTAGTTAAAGTACCACTTCCCAAGATGAGCTTCCTCCTGTTGCCATGACAACTGTTCCCGAGGAGCCTGCACCACTGCAATCTGTTGAGTTATTTTCTCACTGGAGTCTGTTTCTGGAGCCAAGTCCAGTGCCAGGAATGCTGAGGATGGAGGAGGGGGATGCCTGTCAGGGTCGTCTGCCTCCCCACCCTGCCTGAGGCTGTAGGAGGGGAGTTGGAACTTGCTCCTGCGATGAGGCTCTTGTGAAGGCTCATGACCTCCAACATCAGCTTGGACAGCTTCAGCACGGGTGTGGGTACTAGGCCTCTCACCTCCTCTTCTGGCACCCTCTTTCTGTAGCCCACAGAGATGCGCGTGTGAGCACACGCTCCTCCTGTTCCCATCTCTGGGATCAGGGCTAATTACAGACTATAATTAGGGGAATTACACTCATTAAGGCAAGAGCTGATCATTGACAAAAACTGGGCTGACGAGGGAGGGCTTCTGCGAGCGGAGGAGGCAGGACCAGGACCAGCTCTCCCAGCCCTATCTTGGAGGTTGCTCCCCCTTGCTGGGCCTCCAGCTCACTGCCATTTCAGCCACCTTTGTCTGGCCTGACAGAGACGAGGTCCGGAGTTTTGTGTAAAGGAATTTGCAGCAAGAGAGAAGGTTACCATGGCGTGAAATTATGCCTGCTGCCAGGGAGGATTGATGGGCCATTAGGGAGGCTAGCTGGGCCGCCTAGATGGTTCACCCTTGCCTCAGCTGGCCCCTTGCCTCTGCCAAGCCACTATACAGCTCCGCCCACTTCCAGGCTCCCTGCTGCCATGCCAGACTGCTCCCCTAGTTTGGGTGGAGAGGCGAGGATGGGGTGAGTGCTCCTTAGGTGGGATTCCAAGCAGCCCCACCTCCAGAGTGCCAGCTCTCTGTGGTCCCCTGCAGGGCTGCAGAAGTGATCCATAATGTAAGACAATCCCGTGATTTTTCACACCAATTATTTCCCTGTTAGTTCCCCCTAGTCTCAACTGGTTAACCCATGCAAAGGATCAAGCTGACTTTGTGCTCAGAGAGGGGGATGGGTAGGAGGGACACAGTGGAGAGACTGGCAAAGTCCGAAGCCCTTTTTCCTCCCTACCAGTCATGTAATTCTGGTTTCCTTAATGAAGCATGTGCTAAGCACTTGGCATGCACCATTTTGCTTAATCCTAACCATGACTTTGTGGGGTAGGTATTTTGGTCTTATATTACAGCAGAAGGGTCAGAGAGGTCAAATGACCTTAGACAGCCAAGGTCAACAGCCAGTGAGAAGGAGATTCAAGTACAGATCTGCCCATCGTCAGAGTTCTGTGATTTCTTCATCACATCATGCTGCTCCCTTATTTCCAAAGGTGTGCTGAGCTGAGGGCATGGGCCAGGTCAAGGTGGATGAGGAGGTCCAGGAAGGGCAGCCTGGCAGCTAAGACCTCCAGAAGGTCATCGTCAAACCCCTTTGACCTTTAGCCTCTTGCATTTGGGGAGGGCATCTATTGTTATTGCCTGTTTAAGTGTCTGCCTCCTCCTGAGAAAGAACTCCTTGAGGATGAGAACCTTGGTGCATCCTGACATTGCCAGTGTCCAGCACAAGCCTGGCAAAGAGCAGGTGCCTAAGAAAAGTTTGCTAATGAATGAATGAGTGACATTGATCACACCTGGATCCTAAGTCAAGACCAGCTCTCTGCAGGGTGGTGGGTGGAAGAGAGAAAGTCCAGGAGGTTTCAGATACACAATACTTGCCTGCAGTTGTCCAGAGCTTCACTGGACACTTGTGCTATGTGTCACTAGCCCCTCCCTACCCCCTCTAGGCTGTAATTGCACCGAGACCCCCCTCCCACCAAGAGGGCAGCGAGTTTGGGCTTGTTCTGCCCTCAGCTACCAGGGCTTTACCTTGGTAATGGAAATGGAAGGTGCCAGGACCAGCAGGTGGCGGGAGGCTCTGGAACCTCAGGGCTGCTTGGTGGGTGGGGCTGCGGATGACTTGGCCCCGAAGCAGGAAAGACTGGTTGGCCAGGGGCAGTGGATCAGGCCCCCCCAGGCCCTCCACAGTCACTGTCTCCCCTTCCCGGAGGCTGATATTCTGGACCTGCCGGTGGAGTGGAGAGAGAAAAGCAAGGCAGTCAGATTTCTTCCCGCTGCCTGAGTCACTGCCCTCAGGATCCTGCAGGCCTCAGACAGATCAATCCTCAATGCCCCTTGGGCATCGGAGCCCCTAGGCCCTGAGCTGGGCACTTCAGCAGGACAGGAGGAGCTCAGTGTGAGACAGGACCAGAAGTTCAGAGATATTAAGTAAATGATCCAAGGTCACATAGAGATTTTTAGTGTCAGTTCTTCATGTGCAAGCCTGGAACCCTAAAGTCTGAAGTCCTGCCTGCCCCAGCTGATATCTCCCACCCCCTGCCTGTGTTCACCATTGTTCCTGATCCCCCAGCAGCGGAGCTTCCCCAGACAAGCCCCTCACCCAACCCTGCCATCTTAACTGTTCTTATATAATGTAAACACTTCTCACCTAACCCCGCCATTGTAAGGGAAGTTGTGGTCATGTATACTCCTTGTCCCTAACCCCCACCACTGTAACTGAACTTACTCTGCAACACCCCTGCCCCCCAAAACACTACCCAAACTTATAAAACCAACTCCTATCCCATTGCCTTTTGCTAATGCCCTTTTCGGCTTTAGCCCACCTGTACCCAGGTGAATAAAAACAACCATGTTGCTCACACAAAGCCTGTTTGGAAGGTCTCTTCATTCAAAGCATGTGTTTTTCAATGCTTAGCAGCTCTGGGATTTTTTTTTTTTTTTTTTTTTTTTGAGACGGAGTCTCACATTGTTGCCAGGGCTGGAGTGTAATGGTGTGATCTTGCCTTAGTGCAACTTCCGCCTCCCTGGTTCAAACGATTCTCCTGCCTCAGCCTCCTGAGTAGCTGGGATTACAGGTGCGTGCCACCACGCCTGGCTAATTTTTTGTATTTTTAGTAGAGATGAGGTTTCAATATATTGGCCAGGCTGGTCTCGAACGCCTGACCTCGTGATTTGCCTGCCTCAGCCTCCCAAAGTGCTGGGATTACAGATGTGAACAACCGCACCTGGCCCAGATCTGGGGTTTGTAAACACATCTTTCTGTCTCCAGAACTTTTCAGATACATCAGCTGCTTCCTGTGCTTTCCCCTCCCTGGGCTCTGTTTTCTCATCTGTAAAGTAGAGATGGGGTAGGTGTATTGAACCAGATGGTGTCTGAGGGCCTGGTCAGCAGTATGAGGTCTTAAGTATCAGATCCATGTGCCCAGCTTCCCCTGGACATCCCTGTTGGAGGCTTCACACCCAGCCTGCCTCATACTAGGTCGCTGTCTTCCCCCAGCTAGCAGTTCCCCTGGAAATGATCTCGTTGTCTCCCTGGGTGCCTAAGTCAGAAACTGTCATCTTGCCTGCTCCCTCATACCCAATCAGTCATTTGGTCCCATCAACTGGACCTCAAATCTGTTCATGACTCTTCATCCCCACTGCCACTTCCCCAGATCATTGCTGTTACTGTACACCTAGATCACCGCAGCAGGCTCCTGGCCAGCCTTCCTGCCTGTGGGGCTTAACCCACTCCTCCCTCTACAGCACTATTTTCTGAACTATAGCCAGCTAATAGTCTTAGATCTGTTGCTGATCATGATGCTTCCTTGTTTAAGTCCTCCACTGGCTCCCCATTGAGTCCGTGAAGCCTTGATGTAGTTCAAACTCCTTGCCTAGCCCTCAAGGCCCTGCCCAACTTGGCCCCTGCCGTCAACTGGGCCTTACACCACGCCCCTTTGCATGTCAGCCACGATTCTGTCTCTTTTTTCTGAGCTGCTTTCACCGATCCTTTCCCCTGGCTGTCACAGGGCCCACTGCCACCGCTGGTCTTCAGACCCTCAGTCCCTTGAGCATCTTTCTGGGCTTCATGCCTCCATTCAGGCAAACAAGGATTGGACACGGACGGACTCTGCCCAGAGGGAAATTAGCAGCATGGCTTGACAGAAGGAACACTGGATTGATTGGGAGCCCAGAGCTCTGGGACCTTATCCGAACCATGTGGTCTTGGACAAATATGCTGCTATTTGAGCTTCTGTTTCCTCATTTTATTTATTTAGTTTTTTTGAGACAGAGTCTCATTCTGTCACCCAGGCTGGAGTGCCATGGTGTGATCTTGGCTCACTGCAACCTCTACCGCCTGGGTTCAAGCAATTCTGCCTCAGCCTCCCGAGTAGCTGGGACTACAGGTACCTGCCACCATCCCCGGCTAATTTTTGTATTTTTAGTAGAGACAGGGTTTCACCATCTTGGCCAGGCTGGTCTTGAACTTCTGACCTCGTGATCCACCCGCCTCGGCCTCCCAAACTGTTGGGATGACAGGCAAGAGCCACCACGCCTGGCCTCCTCATTTTATAAAATTAGCTAGTGGAGCTCGCTGCTACTCCAAATGTGGTTTCTGGACCAGCAGTGTCGGCCTCACCTGGGAACTTACAAGAGACGCAGAGTCTCAGACCCCACCTCAGACCCACCAAAGCATACTCTACATTTTAACAGGATTCTTAGGGCAACTCAAAAGCAATGATCTATATGGGCTCAAGGTTCCTACCGTGTTGCTCTGAAGCAGGGTCTTCAAGGGTTAACCACCTGGGCTGGGTAAGTGGCATCCAGTGAGTGAGTCACCAAATCCTTCCCAGTCTTATTTCCCAAATACTCCCGTAGTTTCCTCCTCTCCATCCTCTTGTTACTGTCCTGGCCCTAATTAACTCCTGCCCAGGATTTTTCACCTGAGAATGGCTTTCTGTCTGTCTCACGCTTCCCACTCCCAACTCATCTCCTGCTGACTTCGGATCGCTCAGAGGACAAGGTCCAAACTGCCCAGCTCACATTTGGTGCCAGTGGCTCTGCCGCCCTCATTTACCCGCACTGCAGCCATAGGCCACCCTCACTTCCGCCCCCTGGGCATTCGCATATGGGACTCTGCAGGGGGAATGCCTTCCTTTCTTCCTGGTGAAGCTGGTCATCTTTTTAGACCTCAGGGCTGCATCCTCTGCCTCCCAGGCTAGGCCAGGCAGTCCTCCTGTTTCAGACTCTCCCCACTGGCCCCTGCCCATCTTGCTGTTAAAGCTCTGGGTGACATGTTGGGTCACAATGCCTTCTTCACTGGTCAGTTTCAACAAAGATATGTGGAGAGAGTAAATGTGTGGGCTGCTGGAGGGACATTCCCCATCAGATACCTGCGAGCTGAGAGGCACAGAGGATGCCGAGCCCAGCCGGGTCCAAGGCTCAGGGCCCCTCAGACTGGGTGCTGAGAAGAAATGTGGACTGAGGACTCCAGAAGGGGGAGCTGGCCAGGGAGAGGTCCCCACCTCTGCCTGAGAGGAAAGACCTGGTGGGTCTTCGGGCTGAAGAGAAGGCTCGAGGCAGGGTGCTGGAGGCCGAGGCGTCTCCTCTCTGTGAGAAGCTCCCCACCCAGGCACGTCTGGGCGGAGGCTGCCTGACCATCTGCTGGGGACATTCCTCAGGGAATTCCTGCAGCAGGCGGAGGCTGGATGAGGTCTCTTCAAACTTGGAGATTCTGTGATTCTAGAGTTGGGAAAACAAGACTCACACACGTGGAATCTGTAATTATCGAGAGATGCCAGGCAGCATATAATTCCGCCTTAAGTGGCACCGAATGCAGGCAGCAGGAATCCTCGCGGGGAGAGTGAAGGGCTCGAAGGCTCAGGGAAAGCGCCTGGAGCAGGTGGATCTCAGAGCGCCTTGAAGAGAGGAGCACTGGGAGAAGGAGGAAGTGGGTGTACTCACTACAGGGCAATTACCACGAAAGCAAAGGCAGAGAAGTTTTAATAGAAATTAATTTAGTATTTCCTTCTTAGTTCCCCATATACCTCTGGCTTGACTTCTAGCTTCTTGCTCCCGATCTTGCTGCTTTGTGGGGACCAGAGAGCAGCTGTAGCCACACAGTAACAATTGCCATCATAGAGCACCTACAGTGTGTCAAGCCTTGTGCTGGCGCTTTTCATCCTCATCACAACTCTATAAGATAGGTGGCAAAATACCCGCAAGTAAAGAGAGGCTCAGAGAGGCTAAGGGACTTGCAAAAGGTCACACAGGTGTTAAGCAGCCTTGCCTTGCTGAGACAAAGGCAGGTCCTATCCTCCCAACTTCATGGGGGCATCTTCTGTAGAAACAGATGTTTAGACATTATTCCCGGGCCCCAGGCCCCCCAGGTTTAGCAGAGTGGTGGGTTTTGGCTTGGCCTGGCTTTTTTAAGATGTTGGGATTTAAGTTCCCACCAGCCACCCCTTGCTCCTAGCAGTCTTAAAGCTGGGAAAACTGGGAGCTGAGACCTCTGGCCCCCTCTGGTCTGGGGGAGGCACGGCCCCTTCAAGTTGGCCTGGCTCCTAGCCCAGCCTGGTGGTGGGGGTTGGGATGAGAATGTGGAATGAAGTGGCTCCTATTGAGAAGGCTGCCTGTTCTCAGCCAGGGGCTGTCTGAGCAGCTCTGGCCCCCTGGGTTTCAAGCACCCTCTTGCGGGTCTGCTGCAGTGGCTGGAATGTAATTTGTCACTTGTTTGAGGGCCAGGCTGACAGGGGCCAGACAGGGCTGGGTGTCGGACAAGGAGGGGTGATAAAGTCTTGATGCAATTTGCAGCCATCTGTAGAGCCTGGGAGACAGATTGAAATGTCAGCTCTGTTCATGAGGGCTGTCTTCCATACCCATAGCCAGTGACAGGAGGGGACCTGGGGGCCAGGTAGGGGGAAGACAGAAGCAGAGGGAGCTGAGGACAATTCCTGCAGGACCCTGGGCTGTCTAACACTGCCTTGCTTCCAGCAGACCATGGGGTCAGCTCAAGGAATAAATATAGCCACTTTGAGAGGCTGGCCCTTTCCAGGATGGGAGGTGAGAAGGATTCAGGTTGCTTTCTGCCAGCCCCTAGATCAACAGCCTCATCTGGCCTGTCTGTCCCCATAAGAAGCTGTCAGTCAGGCCTCCAGTGCGTACCCTAATGGTGTAACCCTTAGGCGAGATGGCGTAACCCATAGGCAAGATGGCGCTACAGTTTTTTTACACATTTGCACCAAT